CCATGCTGGATTCACGCTGAAGCCAGTGGCATTGCCCCAGGGATGAATCTGTCCTCTTGAGATTGCTCTGTGCATCTGAGCAAAGCACAGCCAAGTGGCACAGTACAAATGTAAAATAATGAGGTAGCAGCTGAGAGTGTCTGGAGCGAGCGGGGAGGAATGAAGATGGATGACTGTAGCTAAGAGACAATCTGAAAAGGGATAAATACAGGCAACAAGTTATTCACCACAGCAATTTGTAAAGAGTGCTAAAAACCTTCAGACAGGAGTGTTTCACATTGCCTCTTTTTCTATAGGTAGCTCGACACTTCTTGTGTAAATGGCACTGATTGATGCCTGAAAACCAGTCCCCTTAACCTGGTATTGGTAAGCTTAACCTTTATCATGCCCAGTGCTAGTGGGGCCTGCCATGCCTGACTGAGAGGGAGCAGCCCCATAGGCATAGAAATCTAGGTGACCAAGTGGGAACCTGATCCTGGCTGCAGTGGAAAGGACCAGCAGCACTGAGTAGGTCCTATGGGGTAGGGGAGAGTGTTACTCAAAAGGAAGTGGCCAGCTGTGATTAGAAATGAATGGCCTGAAGCACAGAAGTGGGGAAGAGATGGAGTGTCTTCCCACAAAGCAAAATGGCTATGTGCAGTTTTGATGGGACACTGGCTGCAGTGCAAGGGAATGTATCCCTGGCCTGAAAAGCCTTTAGAAGCTAGAAAGAAGCAATAGCAAATACAATGGGGTTTGCAGGCTCTGCATGATTCAGTTTGCTGCCTCTCCCCCAAAACCCAAAGCTGCCTCTGGAGTGTAGGATGCTCTAGGTCTGAGCCTTGGATCTTCATAAACTCTTACATCACTTGATCTTTTTGTGCCTTTATTCTTCTTGTGTTGAATAAAGCATCATAATGCATCCTGACATCCAGAATACACTTGTTCAAGTGTGTTAGACTTGGGTGATGAAAGGGAAGCAGGCAACCTTCAGCACAGGGAAGTGTGACAGTGGGGACAGAATGTAATCACCCATTCTAGGGGCTGGCTATAGCATCAAAGTTAATCTCTTGAGAAATTACCTTTACATTGTTGATATAACTGCACAAGGATCTTGGAGCCTTCAAGGGAACAGTCTTTGTTTAGTTGCTGTCTATAAACCCAGCATATAACAGCCCCTTCTTTGTTCAGCCCATGTGGGTCAGTCTTGATTCAAGAAGAAGAGCACCACATCACCTGCAGAGCTGGAGCTCTTTATCTTGATAGCACTGCTCCTTCCCCATCGTGGGTATAAACTGCAGTGACCTGCCAGCATCCTATCCTAGGACTGAGAGGGTCACAGTGACCACCAACATACCTGAAACAGCTTGGGGGGAAAGGGGAAAAAGTCATTCATGAAGATGCTGATGCAGCATTTTTTCCTCCAGGGAAGGGAAATGGCTGCAAACAGCAAGAGTAGGCAGAAGCTTGGCAAAAGAAAGATATAGAGAAATTTAAGGAGGTGTTTTATTGGAAGCCTTTGAGACAGGCTAGGCGAGGTGAGAAGTATTATCATACTGCAGGGTTAACAGAGAAAACCAGCTAACTGGTGGGTTAGGGAGGGAAGACAGGAAACAAAGGCAGACTCAGCTTCAGCCCTGTTCTTTGCAAATCATAGTACTGAGAAGTGTTCCAAACGTGATAATTCTTCATGTTGCAGAAGTGGCATGGGCCATCCTGTGTGTGCACCGTCATGGGGATATGGATATTGGAAGCGGACTTGCTGTGAGTCAGCCTGTACTGGCTGTCCATTTTCCACTGGTACTTCCCTGAGTTCTTTGTGATCTTTATGAATAGACTTCAAATGGAACATTCCTTCAGTGTCTTTGGTGTCTGTTCCTTGCAAGGTAAGAGCTGGTACGTTTTGCCAGAGTGAAATCTCCCTAGCCCATAAGCATCTTTCAAGCATTGGCTAGATGCGAATAGGATTCTCCTAGGCTGACTCTTGCTATGCAACACTCTCCCTGTTTCAGCAGAGCAGCACTGGGGAAAGGATTGGCAATTGTTTTTATGACTTGGAGGCACATCAGCCAAAGAGAGGTGAAGATCCTCCTCCCCCTGTTTGGAGGACAGCCATTTGCAGATCAGCCTCTATCAGCAGCACTGAATTCACTTCAGCAGAAGTAGCTCTTTGGAAACAATAAAATGGACTCTACTGCCTTCAATATAGAATTGTTTCCCAAGTGCTTAATTGACCTTGTTACCTAGAATCATCTATAGAATGGGTTATTACACTGCTGAATGAGCTGATCCAGCTCCTGCTGTCCCAAGATTGGCTTTAGTGTGTAGACTTGCAGATTCCCTTCTGCTGTAATTTCCAGCAAGATGAGATGATTTGGGATTTGAAGGTCACTATCGGTTAGGTCGGCTTGCCCCTTGCCAGGAATGTGACTCGACACACAAGCATCTGGTTGTGATTCAGCATCCCTGATCCAAATACAACCCTTCCCTCCCTCCTACAACCAGCACGCAGCTTTCTTTTTATTGCAGCTTGTTTTGGCTATAGTTCATTGCCAGCCTGTTAAAGGAGAAGGGGTGAGAGCAGAGAGAAGAGCAGGTACCAGGTACTAAAAGAGAACACACTATGGAAACATTACGGAGTGTTGTGGTCTGTGTTACAGCAAGCAAAATGGCTTTAAAGGGTTATTGTGTGGACTCCAAGGGGGATATTGGCTGCAAATGTATTACTGCCATAATTAAAATGTAGTGACTGCCTGTTTTCTGAGTGTGGAGCAGGTTGGCAGTAGACTGGCAGGCACATAGCTGTGGAGTGGGTGGAAGCTATAGTTTCTCCTTGCCTCAATCTTTAGCACTGCTATTAATTTTCATTACAGAGGAAATTAAACTCAGCCCAGGAGACACCCCCCCCCCCCCCCTTTAGTTCCCATGGAGGAAAGCAGCTTGCTTTTATGGCAGGAAAATGCACTTTTAAATGTCTTTAGACTCTCTTGAAGACTGGTTTACGGTTCAAGTCGTAGCTTGTCAGTTGGCAGGTAGCTGCTGCGTCCCCTGGGCATCCTTTTGTCTACCTTGGGTTTCTCCCTGTAGTGTTCATCTCCATGCTTCAGGGCATCAGGCAGCTTCTAATTAACCAGGGTCAGGAAGAAAATTTCCCTGGGGAAAGGTTATTTTCTATCCACATGCTGCAAGGTTTTCTAAGCCTTCTAGATGAGGTAATGGTACCAGCTTTGGGCAGAGGGAATGCACCAGCATCCCAGCATCTCATGGACATTTGTGTCTTTGACTGCTGGTTCTGAACTAACTATAGATGCATCAGTTCTGGTCTTCTTGGAAACATTAGCTTTTGGGAGAACAATGTGCTAGTGAAGCTCTGAAGGAGCCTCTGTTAAAGGCTGCCATAATCTTATCCCATAGAGGGTGAGGGCTGACACTTGAGTTCTTTCACTGCTGAAGTTGGGTTAACTGCAGTCTTAGCCTGTGCTTCCTGACAATAGCACCCCAGATGCAAGCAGGATCAGGGAATAAAACCCTGCATCCTCATGGATTTGTCTGCTTCTCATCTACACTTGGTGACAGGCATCAGCAGAGGCTGAGGGTTATGGCATAAAGACAGCTGGCTTAGGTTTTACTCTGTGAAGGGCAAGGGCAGAGCTAGGCTGCTGTTGCTGCCCACTTTACGGGCAACCCCACGTTCACTTTACCCATGTCTTAGAAGGGGTATAGCAACACCTCACTCCTATATGGGGCACAGGGTGCTGGGCTCAGCACTGCACACCAGCTTAAGACCCTTGGTTAAGCAACTGTGCTCCTAGGGGTCTGAAGGCAGTGCTCACTTTGGTCCCAACAGCTTAATTTCAGGTGTCATCCTGCACATTGACAGGAGATGGACGTTTCCTGTGCTGAGAAATCACAATGAGATGGGCAGAGTGAGAGGAGAAGGATTATTTGGCTTGTTTTACAGAGCAATGAAGTGACTTGTTATGGTCACAGAGGGAATTTGAGCAGGAGACAAGAGCACAGATTTCTGGTGTCCCCTTTAGCCCTATGGTCATTTTAGTTAGTAGGGAAAATTAATGTTACTCCTTAGCAGCTGATGACAGATGACTTCCCTCAACCTGTCCTTTCTGATCTCAATGTTTCCTCAGTCAGATTCCCATCCAGGGAGCTCAAGCTTTCTAAAAGCCGCTCTCATGACCTATACCCCTACAGTGCCAAGGATAGGGTGTATTAAGGGCCATTTCAGCTGCCTGGAAGTAATCCCAAACCAAACTTATCCTTCAGAAACTTGTCTAAGGAGCAGCTTGTTTGGAGCTAGGGGCTGGCAGAGGCTTGAAAAGGAATTCTAATGGGAGCTGCTGGTTTCTCCTCAAACAACAACTGCCCCAAGTTCTGCATTAGGGAATTCTCAGTTCATTTAGGACTCCAGCGTGGAGCTGGCCTCCACGTACCCTCTGCCCAATCCACTGATGCCCTTCCCTTTCTCCCTCCCTCCATCCTGGGTTTTAAGGGCTGGAGCTAGCAGCAGCAGTTTCAGCCAGCTTAATGCTAGTACTGTTGTCTCTGGGGGGTAAGCATTACTCTTTCTTTTTGTTCCCTGTCATTGGGCACAGTTTCAGATGCAGCAGTGTCTCCTGTTGGGGATTTTTTAGCTTGGGCAGATTCATATTGTTAGGGATGCAGCAGTAGCGAAGCTGCAGCAATTCAGGACTCAAAGGCAGGTGTATTCAGGCTTTCTGAATAGCTGTGTACAGAGTGATTTCCAAAGGAATGGAGAGGGTCAGGAAGGACACAGACGCTGGAGGGCTTTGGGATAGAGAGAAGCCACTAGGCGAGGTGGATGAACAAGTAGAAAAGCTGTGATTACAAAACACGAAGCACTTTTTAAATGCAGTCAGCAAAGGCAATGCAAACCAGCAACCTGAAATAAGCAGATGCATCTATGTTCTATCCCTGAGCTAACAAAGGGGGTTTTGTGCCCACTTACTGGGGTCCTCTACCAGCAGTTTACCATCAATACCAGTTCTCCTCCAGGTGTATGCTAGGCTGTGGAGTGTGCCCGGGCAAGGGGAAGACCACTGACAATCTCTTGTAAGAGCATCCCTGGTCCAGGTTTGTACGACAGCCCCAGCGAGGTGAAATCTCATCTCCCTGATATTAAACTTAACCTTTATATATTTCACTTTAAACAGCTATGGAATTACACTGCCTGTCCTTTAATCACATAAGGTTTTAAAGTAACATTTCTTTGTTTAATGCTGCAGTCCACTCAGATTTACTGGTGATGAGAGGGAGGGGGTATGGGAGGCAGGTAGGGAAAAGAGAGCCCATCTCCAGCTCTGATGCAGCTCTCTGGAGTAAGTCATTGGAGGCAGTGCTCAGTGACAACAGGGGGTTTCAGCAGCATTCTGGTGGATGTCTGCATTAATTTGGGCTGGGAGAATATGGAATGTTCCTTCTGGGGCTGGAATTTCTATCTGCTTTGGGAAAGGAGTTGTCTGTTTTTTCCCCACTCAGCTCCAGTTGATTTGCATGTTTCCCTGCTGATGAGTGGAGACTAAGTCATCAATCTGCCTCTCTAGGCATGTGAAATGCCTCGGGGAAGTAAAGCAGGCCTGATATAGGTCAGTCTGGAATAACATGGCATAGTTGTGCATTCTGCCCTTCCCTTTCAGGTCCAAATAGCAGCCTGTCTCCCTTTAAAGCCTTCTCATGCCATAATGCATGAAACTGCTCCATAGTAACTTTGGTGAATCAGCTGCACCACACAAGGGTTGGCCTCATCCTTCCCTAATTCTCCAACCTCAGGAAAATCCGACCTGTGAGCGTTATTCCCCTCTAAGTCGCATTGGAATGTCCTGTTACCGTGAGCACTTCCCCATTCTTTCTCTAGCTTCCTGACTTGTTAATATCTCTTGGATTGCTATGTTTTTCATTTTCCTGGCAAAGTCACATATTCTTTCCAAGTCAGATTTTCAAAGGATAATGAATCTAATATATTCTTGCAAAGGAAGAGCTGACCTTCTAAGCCTTCTATTGCAATTCAAGGGAAAACCAGGGAGATGTGCTGTGAAGTGACTGCAGGAGTGACTGTAGGAACTGAAGCATGAGGCACTGACCTCCCTTATCAATTCTCAGCTTTGTGCACAAACTGATAAAGGAACAATGTGCTGACCTCTCTGATTGTCTCCCTGCACCATTAGCCCCACTGAGCAGCATCTGTCGCTGTATCCTGACCTGGCTCTGTTGCCCCTACTGGGTTTTGAGGACAAGGTAGACAGAGTTAAGTGCGCATCCTCTTGCAGCACAGAAATAAGCAATGTATTATTAGAGACTTACCACTTTAAATACCACATCTATAAATAGCTGCAAGGTGAGCCAGGGGTAGAACAGAGTGAAGGAGTTGGCCAGTTCCACCAGTTGTGTCCTGTCCTCAAGGGTTCTTTCCTGTGAGATGGTGAAGGGGATCTTTGCCGTGTGCCTGCCTCTGACTGCAAACAGATGATCATGTAAAACATGCAGCTGAATGAGATGGAAGTGATTTTGCTAGAGATCATTTCCAGTGCAGGCAATAAGCTCTCTGGGCTCAGTGCCTGCGTTGTAAGGCTAGCTTTCATTTTGGTGTGCTCTGAATCAGGAGCGAGCTCCTTCCTCCTTCCTGGAGGATACCTTGCTTGGATACCTGGCTGGGTGCTGAACGAGCAGCTGATGCAGAAGTGGTGTGTAAGAGCACCAGTCTCGCTTGTTCTGACCTGATGCCAGTCAGTGCTCAGCGCATGGGAGCTCAGGAATTGGGGCCCACAAGTGCCACAGCTGCTGGTGGAGGAAAATGCCTGGAGTGAATGCTGGCCTCTCTGCTGAGAGGCTTTACCACCTGCAAAGAGATGCTCCCATCCTGCTGTTTCCATTTAGCCATCAGGGTGTTGTTTATGGCTGCTGTTTGTTCCCTCCTTCAGCTGTAGAGTTAGTGCTCCCGAGGGCAATGTCTGAAATTTATTGCCAGTTTCAATTCTGCATCTGAGCAGATGCATCAGACCACCAAGTCATCACCGCGTGACTGAGAACAAAATTGGCCTCGGCTCTTCTGCAGCTAAACCTTTGGAAAGCAGCTAAACAAGTGAAGCAGAGCAAAGGCTGCTGCTTGGGTTACTGGGAGAGGAGGTTTTCAGGATCTGGAAAGGCTGATGGATTCTGTTTAATGTAGGGCTGCTGAGGTTTTACCTCTAAACCAGGGATCCATCATGGATGAGATTGAGAGAGTTCATGAAAGAGCCATGCAGGAGGACTAGGCATAATGCAGAGAGCTCAGAGTGGGTATGTGTCTTCATAAGCTCCATGGGCCTGGATTTAATGGTAATCACTGACCTAGCAGTTCTCCCAGTGGCTGCTATTTATCCCCTGCAATCCTCCACAATCATGTGGGGTAATCAGGGCAGTGGTCAGCTTGGTTTCTTAGTCATGATGAGCACCATGGTGAGTTTAATGGTAGGACCTTCAGAACACTAATGCTGTTGTTCCTGCTCTTGGCCTCAGGCTAACTTTACCTAAACTTCCAGTGCAGTTGCTGGAAGAAGAGTTGTGACCTCCAGAGCTAAAAGCGTGTGCTGTTATGGTGTGAGCTGGAGGCAGGCCCTGCAGATGCTAACATGACTTATCCTCTGGGGCCAGGCATAGGGAGCTTCTAAGATGTGCTTGGGCTGTTACACAGCCACAGATGCACACACACGGTTACAGAAAGCCTTTCATTCTGGCACTTCCTTGTCCTTATTCCTATGCCTGACGCCTCTACCTCTTAGCACCTCCACCTTACACCTAAAGGAGCCTGGGAGCAGCACTCTCCTCAAGTGCCCCATCACTGATGCAGATGCTTCAGGCAAGAGCCATGTGAAGATGTTTCTAAGGGACCACATTGCTCTGGAAAGCTCTCAGTGTTTTTGATGTGGGCTGTCCTTATCTTTCAGGCATTAGCTTGCTAGTGAAGGGAGTCGTGAGCTGCCCACCATGTGAAGTTAAACTACCTGGGGAAGGTGCTTCTTTTCAAATAGAGGATGCTGCTGTGTCAGTCTGACTTGCTGCATTCAGCTGGCAGTGAAAGTGCTCCCCCTGAGAGTCGGTGGCTTGCAATGCATCACCCCGTGCAAGGTACAGCTCTAACAGTGGGAAAGCTGAGCTCTGCTATGCTGGTGCATCAGCCTTTCCCAGTCTGCACTGCATACACATTAGATAGAGGTCTTATACCAGTGCCCTTCAGCTCTGCTCCTGAAACACCTAAAACCAGCAGGCACTCTCCCGCTGCGAGCTGGAAGCCCACAGTTCACTCTTGTGCAAATATGCCCTTGTACTGGGTAATGGAGTGAGCCTGAGCTGTGCAGCATAGCTGAACCTTGGCATGGTACCCGCTACAGACTGCAGGCGAGGAACAGTGCCCAAGGGAATCTGCAGCTGTGGTAGGTTTGCAGGGGAAAGATGTTCACTGCGCTCCACAAGAACACAAAGGAGGGAATAACTGAATGCCCTTCATCCTCCTCCTCAGCATTATCCTATTGCTGGCTGTTGCCAGTGAGTCTACTCTGTCATCCTGGAGTAGGTGGAATGCTGTAAGGGAGAGGCTGATAGCAAACCCCAGTGTCATTTCGATATGTGGCAAAACAACATGAATCCAAAAGTAACAAGAAAGAGCATCACAGAGAAAACTGCCTGGTTAGATGAGGGGCAGATGTCAGAGCCGACAGAAAACAAGCTGAGGTGTTAGACTGAAATCAATAGCCATGGCAGCTCGGGGAAGAGGAAACAGGATTCATTATAGGAAGGATAAAACTGATATTACCCAATCTAGCATATAGTGTGTGTAGGAGAATTAAGGACTTTAACTTTCCAAGTGCTGACAACAGAAAGGAGGATTTGCAATAGATAAAGTCAACTTGCATAACTCTATAAAGGCTTAGAGAAAGGGGGAGAAAAAACCTTCTTTCACTGGGTAGCTTTCTGCACGGCTTCATTTCTGCTCCATCCTCTGTAATACAAGGAAGCACGTTGCCTGGTTTGGGGAATTAGCTTAGCTTATGTTCGCCTCATGCCCAGGTGAGCTAGCCCTCGGAAGTGAGGCTGTTGCTTTGCTCGGTTGGTGGCACTTTTGTCTCTGAGAAGCAAGGAGTCGGTTCTTTGAGTAGGAGTGGTTTTGATGTGCTCCGAGTTGCACAGCTAGATGAGGAAAGGGCACGCAGGTACCAAAACTACATGTCCCAATATAAGGAATAAAGCTTTGCATAAGTGTGTGTGGTGGTTTTTAACATCCATATGCTTCCAAATAGTTCTGCTTCCACAGGTAAATCTGCTGAGCAATGTGAAGGCCTCTAGCATCTGCTGTGCTTAATCCCATAATAGCCTCCCATTTGGCTAAGAAAGCCATTTACAGCTCCTTATCTCCAAAGAGGTGTGAAAGCACAGGTGGCAAAGGATTAGGTGGAGCAGGAGAGAGGCAATAAATGCAACAGTGTGGCTGGACAGGTAATAGAGTGCACTTTAAAAGGCAAGTGGAGGAAAAGAAGACATTAATCTGCTCCTATGCGGGCTCAAAGGTCTGAACCTATTGGCTGAAAGCAGAGCCAGCCACTTGCCTAATCCCTGGAGGTCTCTGTACCCATCGCAGATGGATGGTGGGGGGAGATCTCCCCTCTCTTCCTTAATATACTCCCTACAGTGGTATATGTCCAGGCCCTGCAGTATGCAGCTCAGAGCAAGGAAGATGGATGGTGACTTTATACAGAGGCTCTAGCTAAGGGGTATGTCAGAGTGATGAATATTCCCAAGACTTTAACTGTCTCAAAGTAGTGAAGAAGATCCCCTGGGCATGGCCATGGGTCAAGGAGGGGGAGAGACAGTGCAGGAACACTTAAGACTCATTGTGGGGTGGCAGAGAACCAAAGAGATGGACTTACACTACAGAGCTGGGGTTTATGTCCCCCTCCTTCCAAAAGGGCATCTGTTATGTTGGAGGGATGCTGGTGTTAGGCACAAAGCAGCACGATTTTAAAGGAGAGGTGTTGCTGAGCCATCCTTGGCCACACCTGTAGCTATCCAGTAATCAGAACCTTCCTTCTCCCACCCCTTATCAGTGTGATAACTGGAATTAACTGGGAAGAGCTGGCTCTGAAAGCCTTTACCTGACAATGGCAAAAATTGGTATCCTGCAGTTAAGCCTTTTTCAGCTCGTTGCATGAATTGGAAGCTGTCATTCTTGTGGGCATCCCAGGGTGACATAAATCTGGCCCATGGCTGGTGTGTGCTGCTGCACTGCAGGATGCAGCACTGTCCCATGAATAGAAATGCAGAGGTGGCTCTCTCCCTTCCCCTGTCCCTTTATGGACATTCACACCAGCAGAAGCTTAATTCTAAACCCCTTTGCCTGCCATATTATTCATCCAGTTTCTTCATCACTCTTGTGTTGCAAATGTTACCTTTCCTAGGGACAGGGATGATGTAGCAGCCTCAGCTAATCCCCTGATGATTAAAGGTTTCATGCTCCCAACTGAGCAGAGCAGAGGGAAACAGGATGCATGTGTCTTTAGACAGAACACAGAAATCCTCCTAGTTCCCTCTGAAGGAGGAATAGATGGGTGAGTGAACAGAAAAACCCCATAAGAGGCTTGCTTCTCCTGTTGGACAGATTATACTGTTAGGGCAAAACCCTCTGCAAGCACATGCAGCAACCATTCCCTCTGCTCATGTTGAGCCTCAGGCTTCTGATTTTCTCCTTTGGCCTTTTCATTTCACAGTGGCTGAGGATGACATTTCCAAAGCAGGCTATGGAAATCAGGTGGCCACATGGCAATGGGAGGTGGACCTCAGCTCAGAAATAATACTTTAATGTGTTATTGGCTTTCTGAGCCTCTCCCTGTGTATAATTGCAACCATCCAGCATCTGGCCTGATCTCTGCACTCTTCTACCCCGTTTTTACCCCTCAAGCCATCACAGGGGCTTTTGGGATCTGTTGTCTCATGCCATGAGAATGCATGACTTAGAAAAGCAGCATTTGCTATTAGCTGTCTGTGGTCTCATGGAGAATCCCAGGACTCAGGGAACCTGGGAGTGGGACCCTTGCCTGGCTTTTGCTGTGTCTCACTTTGTCTGCCTTGGGCAGGGATGCTGCATTTCTTCTGCAATGATTCCTTTTGGATGTGTTAAGGTTTCGAGATGAATTGCATCACGCCATAGTTAGCTGCTGTGAAGTGCCCTGGGTTAGCAAGCACATGTTTGTTCTAAGAACGTTTAAGCATCTAACACAAGGTTTGGGATCGGGAGTTTGTACCCCTGTGATATAAATGCCAAACAGAATTAACAATGAGCAAACCCAAAGCTGCTGGATGCTGAGAAGGAGAAGGCAGCAGCTGTTGTTTGTTTGGTTTCTAAAGGCTCACAGGAACAGGAGGCCATAAACAGTTAAACTTCTCTTGACAGCTGGGGAATGCTTTGGATGCCTAAAATCAGTGCCGTGGGTTCCTCAGCACCTCCGTGTATTCCCCTGCAGGAGCTGATGCTTTGCTGTCCATCGCTTTGCTGCTTTGATCAGAGAAGGAATACAAATGACACCTTGATGATTACTCACATTTTCAAATGCTGTCCAACAGCAATAACTGTCACCTTTCATAACACCACACTGGGCTCCCATTGCATCACTTTGTGGCTTGCCCAAACGACTGAGCCCACGCTTGTGATTCCTTACAGCTTCAGCTCCTTGGAAGAGGTGGGTGAAGGAGAGGGTTTTTGTAGCTGGTCAAGTGATTTCTGCTCTGTGAATGCAGTCATACAACAAAAATAAGAGCTGCTTGAGAAGTAAGGAAAAAGCTTGGGATCAATGGGATGTGCAGCATCTTTCCCCTCAGGGGTGTTGAGTGCTTCCATATGATGGTTATCAGTGAATAAATGAGTTGAGATCAGCTCAGTGTTGCTAGAAAAATGGCTTTCTCTAGTTCATGCCGTGATTTACTTAGGCCCCTGCAACTGGACCAGGGCAGTGTTGCTTAGTGGATGTGTATTTAACAAATAAATATTATGGATATCAGTTTCAACTTGACTGAAATGATTCCCACATTAGTGCTGAGGCTGGGGAAGAGAGGGAGGGAATTTGATGGTGTGTGAATCCAGGCCTTTGCAGCTAGGGAAGCAGTACCAGTACCCAGTAGCTGTGGGGCTGAATGTTCCTTTATGTCATAGTAAACCTAGGGCACAGAAAAGGATGATCTTGCAAACGCAGGTGTATTGTAGATCCCAATGCAGAAGAGAGAACTGCTGGAAATGGAATTAAGGTTAAAAACTACTGTTGTGATTGCAGGTCACAACTCCCTGGTTTCAGAACAGAGCTGTGTCGAGTCAGGTGCTGCTTGGGAAGTATTTGAACCTCATTCTGCTAGTCATGGTGCTCTCCATGTACCAGCTCATTGCAAGTGAAATGCTTAGTTACTGGGTATGGAAGCTACCCTATGCCTTTCCCTGCCTTTGGAAACGCTGGGTGAGATGGCTCAAGCTTTACAGCTGCTTAACTTCCATAAGAGAGAGGATATGCTGTGATGTGGCTCATATGCAATGGGAAATGGGGATTGCCTGCTCTGAAACCAACGTTCTCATCTGCCCTCAGTCTCCAAGACAGTGTGTCCTGAGCAGGCTCCTGCGTTGATATTTCTATCCTATGTCTGCTGCTCCTTCCCTCACTTGTCTCTTTCTTCCTCTTCTGGTTTCCTGAGCGTGGTCACCCAATTTCTCACTCCTGTGAGCAGCTGGGGCTTCTGGAAAGAGATTGGAGTGTCTTCATTTTTAAGAGAAGTGATGCATTGCACCAGCCAGCTGCCCTTCCTCAGCTGCTCCCTCCTATTACACAAGCCCTGTGTGTGCACACACACCTTGACAGATGGCGATGCTCTGAGGAGCTGCTTCAATTTTTACTCTTTCCTATACCCCATGGCTGGAGTGCCAAATACTTGAAAGCTGCTGCTGCTCCATAGATCACCCCAAAGTGCTGAAGTCCAGTGCAGTTATACCGCTCTGGAAACGCTATCAATCACAGAGGGAAAAGCATCCAACGGCAAACTCCTTAGCGCCCAATGTACCTGCTCATGTCAGAGACAGATGAGGCTGCGGTGGTTTGTGGGCGCATCTTTTTCCCTCTTCTGTTTCCCTAAATCCATTACCAGAGCTTTTCTGATCAAGGCAGCATGCTTGGTGCTTTTAGGCTTGGTGGCTGCCTTTTCTCCCTGTCCTTTGCTTCTCTTCTCTAAACCAGTCCATACTCTGTTAGATGAGGGGCAGGGTTTTTATTCTTCCTGTACCGACACAATTTCTCAGCTGTATGTTCTTTCATGTGTAACAGCCACTATGGTCTCAAGTATCAAATGCCATTGTCACGAACCAGAGGAGGAATATAACATCTGGTAGGTGGTACTATTGTCTCCCTTCCTGTGCAGCCTTTCTTCAATGCATCTTCCCTCTTAAAAAGCTCTTGCTGTGGCAGCCATCTCATTGTGAGTAATGCACAGCAGACAGGGAAACTGTGGTCCTGCTACAGTTTGTGTGCATTTGTATTATAGCAGCACTGACAGTCCCTACCAGAGGTCAGGGTGCCACTCTTCTGGGCACTGCATTCAGACGCCATAATAACAGCACAATGTGAGAACAAAAGAAAGCCAAAACGGAGAAAGGAATTTTCTTCAGGACAAAATGAGAAGCAGAAATTGAGAGGCTGGTACCCAGTGTTTCATTCCTTACTGCATGCTGGACTCTGTATGAGCATGGATGAAAAGACGATGTATTTGTCCTGAAGGGTGCTAATAAAATCATGCTCTTAGCTGTTGCAAATCTGCCTGAGTCGGCAGAGCAGCTGTGTCTTAGGGGATAGTCAGGATGGTTGCTTCATGAAGAACACAATGGATTAAGTGTACTCAGAAGTCAGACCAAAGCCCCTTACCCTTCCTCTTTAACTGTGCTGGAGAACCCAAGAGCTGTCCATCTGCTATTAAACATAAGAGATAGGCATCTTTTCACAGAAAAAAAAGCCAATCTACTGTGCAAATACCTCTACACTGTATATTTCCTGCTTTTCCAGCTTCCCTGCAACCACTCCTCCAGTCAAAGGAAGATCTTTGCCCTATGTCTTCCCACACACTGCTAGAGGATGTTCCGAAACCTCATGTCTGAAGCTATGTCAGGCCAGATGGAACGCAGGCAAAGGGAAAACAGCTTGGCTCTTACTGTGCTTGAGTAAATAGGTGTCAAGCAGATTGTGGTGGGAAGTGATGCATTAACCAGGTGACCTACACAGGAGAAACCTGTTGCACTTCTCTGGGCATACGATACCTGTTACACAAACCTTAGGTAGGTGCAGAAAGCTATAGGACAGCTACAGGCTCTTTGCTGGAGAATGCTTGAGGATATTGCTTAAGGGAAGAAGCCAGCGGTGGCAACTTACATCGTGGCTCTTCCCTTCTTGTAAAGGATCCTGCCCCAGTGCCAGAGGCCCTGATGTTCCTGTATTTCCTTTGCCCACACGTATTGCTTTGCTTCCAATTCCTTCCATAGCTGTAGCTTGCTCCATGATAGGTTAATAGCATATTAACACTGCCTCATAGGAGGATGTCTGGGATAGCTTTGAGTCAATTCTGAGTTATTAGAGATTTTAATAGCTGAATCACTTCTCTTGGCTGCTGTGATGTTCATGGCATGTATTGTTCATTCACCTTAAACGGCAATGTATAAAAGACCTCCATCTCTTTAAGTACTTGTTATTCTAGTCAACAGTACCCTGGTGATGCAGAACTGGATCCAGAGATCATTGTGTGCAGTATAAATAACTACACAGTAAAGCCACTTAATTAAGAACTGTCTGCACCTGAAAAGCAGAGGAAGCTTTGAGCTGTATCAGAGTGTGTACAGGGTGACCAAACAGTCTGTATCAACCACCAAAATATTCCTGCTGGATTTAAATAGATGTAGGCTTCCTGTCAAATACCATGGCTTAGGCTTCTCAGGGAGGTCAGGAAAGAATATTGCCTTGTCCTACGATGTTATTCCCCTCTTGTCCCTGTTGTTTGCTCTTCCCATTCAATGTTATGCACTGCAGCATCAGCTTAGAAGGCTCTTCCAGCACCAGCTCGCACACTGTGTAACATCTATGTTGCTTTTGGTTTTAAGTATGAAAAGTACTGAAGAAGGACTTCGCTCTAGAAACAATATTGTGATCCCTTATTTTGAATTGTGTCTTCCACCATTTGTTCATATTGACACCAACTACTAATTTCAATTGGAGCAAATACCAGAGACTGGGCCATTAAATCCCCCAAACCCTTCCAAGTTTCATTTCTCAGCCCCAAAGCTGAGAGTGTGAGAGTTGACCCCTCTCCCAATCTGCTGCCCCAAGGTCCAGGATCATATAAATCTACATTAACTCTGTACCACACCTCTTTTCCCAAGTCAGACACATGAAAGTCATCATTAGTTGACTGTTGAGTTCAGCTTTTAGCGAACAGGCATACATTTGATTGCTCCTTTGTCTTTACAAAGGCAGCAGCAGGGAAGTGGCTGAGCAACTAATGTACTTGTCTGTGTCTTTATGAAGTAACCATAAATAAAACTGATAATAAAAGCAGTCTTTTTTACTCTCTCTTTTCAAATAGTGACAGGATCTTCCTGGAAAATTACCTTTTTCCCTTTCTTTAGAGTACAAGTTAAAAGGGTTTGGTATTTCTCGACATCTAATAAACAACCACTTTCCCCTCATTTTCCATCCACTGAAGTAGAGGTAATGAATGCATTTTATCACTGTCTCCCAAGAGAAGACAAAGAATCAAGGATCTAAAGCTTTAGATTTTCATAGATGGAAGTAGCATTGGAATAGGGGCAGGCACCTTCCATTCCCACAGCCTGGT